GGGAAGTACCTGGGATTGCCCAGGATACCTGCTGTACTGGGTGTCTGAAATTCGGGGTCTTGGTGCCGTGGAAGACTGATCTGCTTGCCCAAGGACTCTCTCAATCAAGTGCGACATAAAATATAGAATATATATATATATATATACTCGTTTCGATAACGCTTTTATGGGTAAGTGCAATTGTGGTGCATTTAAATACAAACATACATATTTATATAATTCGTTTTTGATTTGGTATAATTATTTATCACATAAAATGTGCAGCAGTGCAAAATTGTTTATGCTAATTGTTTGTCATAACTTGTCCCGCTAATTGTTTCAATTTCGAACATAATTTACTGGGGCGTGTGTTTTGGGGGTGTGCGTGTGTTGTGTTGTGTAATTTTTAATGAATCGCATGAGTTAGTAATGAGTTCAATTAGGGTTGAGTGGATAATTAATGCCTGCTGAAAATAATGGGAAAATTAATTGGATATTAATAGGTAAGAATTAAACTAAACCGAATAGTGTAAAACGAGTTGTATTTGCCTCTGAATACCTTTATCTGCCCGACATGCCTTACATATACATATCCTTAGCCTCTAGAGCTCTTCACTCTTCACTCTTCACTGGACTTGTCCTGACCAAATTGCATTTACAAACAATTTATTTTCGGCAATTTGCACACAAAACCCCGCAACACAGTGAGGAGGAAGTTTATACTGGTTGGTGGCTTTCGGTTCGTTTTATTAGAAGAGTTCTTGCATTGTGTGTAGGCTTCCAGAGGTCAGCGTTAAATGCTCACCTGTGCCAGGTGAGTTCCGGTGTGCGGAATAAAAGTGGCATTAAATTGCATCAGTGGCTCGGGTTGCTTTTGCATTGAGTGCGGCTTTTTGTGGCTTTCGGTGGCCATAAAAGCTGGCCCGGAATCAATGGCAGACAACACCTGATGCCCATTGAAGGTCACTTTAGGTCCCAGTCTGATATATAGCCGCTATATCGTAAATCTCTGTTGTCCCGAGCTTTGCGTGCAGCCTCCAATGCCTCACAATAAAAGTTCTGTGTCGGCAATTTGTATAGCAAAACTTTTCAACAATTGCCAGGCGCAATCTTAGATTTTACTAGACACGGATCTCTTCTACATCAAATACATGTTTATATATATTTATATATGCACGGTTAAAGTTTTGAATAAATCTTCTAAGCGATGGCCAACACCTTGGTGTTCAGCAAAAGCAGCAACATTATATATTTCCCTTCATGTGGTTCTACTCTTAACTAAACTAACATTTATATATTTATTTTTTGTTTATACGTGGTTATACTTCTTTTAAATATAGGTTTTACTCTTTCTTTTCGTAGCTGACTGCATGGACGCAGTGTCCCAAATGTCCTGTCAAAATCTCATTACCGAAAATATGCTCATATCGCTTTGCCCAAACATCTGAGTACGTTCTTCTATGCTTATTTTTGTTGAGGGAATAATTTAAAATTAATTCTATTTTTTCTGGACAATGTTGAAAAGTTCCTTTTGACCGCCAAGTGAGGAGCTTAAGAGGAGAGGTTCTGGGACTAACTTACCCACCCTCAAGGATTTCCAAGGACTCCCGGCATAATCTCAAAAACTTTGCGGGCGGTTTCAGGTGCACTTCAGCAGGCTCAGCACTCGGCAAAGAAGAAGTGTATTGCGTAAACTCAAAAGATAAATATGTGCTCAATGTTTTAAACAATTGTGATATAGTTTTCAAGTTGCATGCGTTTAGTATTTAACTTACTGCTGTTGTTGTTGTGTGTGTTGGAGCAACTAACTCAGTGCCGCTGCTGTGGTGAGTGTGTTTTATATTTTGTTGTGGAGAAGGAAAAGTATAATCTGAAATCTTGGGTAGAAAAATCAGAAATGCATGTTTGTGGTTTGTTTTCAGTGTATATTAAGTTGTGTATTTGTTTTCCATTTTTTCTTTGTCTTCGTTTTTTTTGTGTATTTTCTTGTTTTTTGTTCTTTCTCTTGCATTATCATATATTCGTATAATATATAATTAATTATTATAAGTAGTTAAGAAACTGTTTTGGTGAAACAAAGGGGGGGAATTACGCTAAAAGAGATACCTCCTGCACATTCGAAATCAGTGGGCGAGGGGGATAGAGACGGATCCAGAGAGTTACAAAAGAGGCAGGCAAAATTATTTACAGCAAATATACTAATTAGGAGGAGGAACTTGAGGGTAAAAATCATTGAGAATCGATAGATCTTTCGGTTTTTCTTGTGCGAATGGTCAAAAGCCACTCATAATTATAATTTTCCATCTTCTCTTTGATTTTCTCTTGATTTTCACTTTTCTTTTACCTTCTGCAAATATACAAATACAAATAAATACAAGTTCAAGGGGTGTCGAGTGTACTATATATTCTTAAATATATATATATGTATATATATGTTTATACTTGTATATGTGTGTATGTACCTATGGTTGTGTGTGTGTGTATGTCTTCTTTTAACATTCAACAATTGTGTGTGTGTGTCTTTTTGGTTTTTCTTCTTTTTTGTCAGCTTAATATTCTGCATTTGCTTTTTTGTTTTGCTTTTTTCGCAAAGTTGCCTTTCGTTTTCGTTACTTGGTATTTAAAAAATAAATTTAAAACTAAACACTCTATAACCGTAGAACTTAAACACCTCAAAAACACTAATTTAGATCGTAATATGTTTTATTTACAAATTGTTACTTTATACACAATACTGTTTTTGCTGACGCGCAGGCTTAACTCAGGAAGTAAATCTTCATCTATTTTTCAAATAGGCTAGAAAGGAGCTTCTTATAGAATAGAAATTAAAAATTAATACGTAATAAGAGTGAGTAAGAAGGATAATTGAAACGTCATTGAACGATCTTCGTTAGCACTTTGTTCAATTGCAAAAATTAAAATCTTCCGGGTATTTCCGTTTCCGGTTGCATTATTTACAGTCAAACTTTATGTATCCTTCGATTTGTGGTTTCTTGTTGTCGTTTTAAAATTTCGATCTTGTTTTTTGTTAGGATTATAGAAAAATAGGCCAAAAATATATGTATTTGTGTGTGTGTCTGTGTGTATTTTTCTACACCTTTACCTCAATTATTGCTGTTCGTTCAAAAAGTGTGATTAAAATGTTTGTTCGGTTTGTCTTTGATTTGTTCTTTTTTGTTCTTCCTTTTCGTTCGGGGTTTGTTCTTGTTTTCTTGTTTTTTAGTGCGCATTTGTTGTTCTTGTCGTTTGGATTTAGTTTGTGCATAATTTCAAGGATTACAATTAAGTCGCATATACATACAGATTAGTGTATTCGTTAATGGTATTTATCGTTCTTACTTAGAGTTATACACACGTTGTCTTGCGTTTAGTATTATTGTATGGTATAGAAATTGTTGTCGTTATTCATTTATATTTAAAGGTGGGTTATTTTGCAGTTATTTATTTATTTTCTTGTTTTTTAGTTTTTTTTTTTGCTTTTTAATATACTTTTACTGAATCAATTCAATTGAAAGAAAACACCAAGGCGGCTGTCTCCCATTTATACTTTTCGGTTAATAACGAAGATCGTTGATACATATATATATATATAAATATATATATATATATTTGGAAGGGAAGAGGGGGCAGGAGGGGTGACGGGATGTGAAATAAAAACTTATTCGTAAAACGTATTCTCAATTATACATTTTTATATAATTTGTTTGCCATTTTTTATACGACGTACTGTGTATAAGATATGAAATTTTATTGCTCGCAATTTCATATGTTATTCCATTTAAAAATAATAAAACATGTTCGGGTTACATGCAAAAGAACAAAAGGACACTATATATCTCGAAGCAAATTAAAAATCCATTTAATTAGTGAATTAATTACGTGCAGAAAACAGGAAATCTGTTTTGTTTTTTATCAGAGGGAAACGCAGAGGGAAATGCATTGTGTGAAAATCGCTCAGTGGCTACGCATTATTATTGTTTAATTCGCAATTCTCTGCCCATTGTTTTATATATTTTTTTTGCTTACACAACCGTTTACACACTTTAATTTGTAATTTTCGGCTTAAAAATTTGCTTGATTGTATTTCTTAATTGATTGATTTGGGCTGGGACTTGGCCCCCTTTGCAGGCATAATAACGAATAATTCCCAATTCCGCGTTTCCGATTGAGAGAAGGGCGAGGAAAACCATATGGGATATAGAAGTGACTCGGGATAAAACCAGACGGGTTCAGATTCGATTAGGGTTAGTGTTAGCGTTTTTACAAGCTTCTCGTTTCGCTTATAAGCTTATCGTTTTATGTATATTTATAAGTCCATTGTTATTTAAATATACGTTAATTATGTAAATAAATTTACTTAACTACAGATAGCTGCCGTTTCCGTGAGAACTGTTTTTCACTCGTGAACAGAACAAAACCGGGAGGACATTCACATGCAAATCAAGGGGAAATGATAATCGAAAGTCATATTTACACACATGAAGAAATCAAACTCTGAGCAAAACAAACTTTAAGTGTTAAATTCGAACTGAAAGCGTCGTAAGAGGTTCGGGTTCGAACGAAAGGAGTTTGTTTCGTGGTAATGAAGTCAAGTCTTTTTCTTTATGTAAATGTTTGCCTCTTCTTCTAAATTGTAAATGTTTGTTTTTTCGCTTTTGTTTTTTATGTCGCTAATCTGGCTGTTATTGCATTGTATATAAGTTTATTATATTGCACTCGTTAGCTTGTTCAGTTATCAGTTATCAGCAATAAAACCTAATGCAATATTTTCCTTCAATTGTATATTTGTTTGTTATTGGTATATGTATACTATTAATATATATTTAATGTCGGTTTTTTCTGTGTATATGTATATATAATTTCATTCTTCTGCTGCTCGCGCTTGCCCTCCGCGTGTTTTATTTATCGCTTCGTTTTTGCTTGCTTCGTTTTGATTTCATTTCTTTTGGTTTATATTTAACATTTAAACTTTAATACACGTATAATTAAATAATGTACACGAAATATATATATTTCATATAGTAAGATATATTTATAATATATTTTTATTTAATGTATACTAAAAATAGTTAGGCCCAATTATTTTTATCCGGCGAAACAAATTCCAAAATGAAAAGAGAACAGCTTGGTTTTTGTCTTGTTTTTATCCCATTTTTAGTTTGTTTTTCTTTTTCGTTTTGTTTTGTTTTGTGGAATTATAATTTAGCTTTAGTATGTATAACTGCTTTTTGTTCTTGGGCTTTCATTAAGTTAATTTTTAATAATAATAGTGTAATAATAATCATACCTTTCATTTAAGCATAATCGCTGCCTCATTTTGTTTTTAATCATTTTGTTCTCTTACTTGGCAATCCATTCAGCTTTGTCTTTAATTATGTTTTCTTTTTTTTGCAAGATGCTGGATTTTACTTTTTTTCTGGCTTGTATTGTTATTTTTTTCTGGGGAATTTTCCTCTGGATTTTCTCTCTCGTCAAAGGACAGGCGGGAGTCTGTGTGTGTGGTGCTTTTCGAGTAATGTTTCAACTTAATAGACTTTTGCTTGACTTGGTTGGGGAAGGGGGGCGAACACGTTAAAACTAATCTTTTGTCATAAATGTTTAAACTTTAAAGTGTGTGGTGTGTGTGTGTGTGTGTTTGGTGGGGAGGGGTGGAGGGGTGGAGCTTAACGCCCTCGCGCCCAGCGCAGTAACGCATCCGCTAACACATCCAAGTGAGCCTTCGTCTGCAAAGAAGCGAAGGAAAACGGAAAGGAAAGATTAGCCTGAGGAAATTACGTATACGCACGGTGGGCTATGGTTAAATATTGAATTTCTAAACTTGTATGCTTTACGTTTTGATTATTTCATTATATATAGTTCATCTATATAGTCATCCAACTCACCGTCTTGTAGAACATGCAGGATCTCCGGTCCTCGTCCTCGCCATCGGGACAGTCAATGAAGCCGTCGCACAGGACATGGTCGTCTATGCAGCGATACCTGCCCTGCCGGTCGGGTATTGGGCAGGCGAACCGCTCCATGCCATCCATGGCGGTGGGGCATTCTAGAAATAAATCGCAAAAAATAAAATAAAAGGCAAGGTAAGTACGGGTGACAGTCAGTCAGGGAATGGCTGGCTCAGCCCAGGTAAGAAGCCCCCAAACTTTACCCATAAATCGTTCAGTGCAAAACTTTTGCACACGCTAATGTCTGCCATGATTTGCGTCTAAATGTTGCAACTTGCAGGGAAGGGACAGGGAAGGCGATGCCCGCTCCTCGCTCCTCGCTCCTTTACGTTGCGCATAAAACTATGCTACGGATATTTTCCTTCTTGCTGCATTTGTTTGTGCGGCCGCTTAGCAGGGTTTTTTCAGATTTTTCTTTCGCTATAAATAGTTTCACGTCTGCTACTTTACTGCTCTCTGCGGCTGAAAGCGGGCAAAAGGCGTGTGTTGGACTAAATCCAGGGTGGAAATCCAGGCTTGGCTGGCTTCGCTTCGCTTGCACCGACGCCGCCGCCGCCGCCACCGCCATTGTGGAACAACAAAAACAAGTGAAATACAAACTTTATTTTTTGTGGCATTTCACTTTGTTCTGCTACCCTTTTCTCTATTCTCGTTTACCATCTCTCTTTCCCTATTTTTTTCTTTTTTTGTTGTCTTTTCCACCAACAAATACATAAAAATAAATCACTTGTAGGACATGTTGGCGCCTCCGGTTTAGTTTTGCTGCCACATGTGTGTCGTTGTCGGTGGTGTGTGTGTGTGTGTGTGTGCTGGTTGCATGTTTGTGTATTGGGATTTGCTGTTCAAGTTGTCCGTATAGGTTTTTCCCACCCCCACCCTAACCCTTTTCCCTCCACAATTGCTATTTCCGCGCTTCGCTTTTGCTCTTGCAAAACTTTCCTGTGCTATTTTTGGCTGCATCCAAAAACTGTTCCGTTCTGTTCGGTTCTGTTCTGGTTTTTGCCACGCGACTCTGTTGCCACTTAATAATTCCGCGTTTTAGTTCAGTTTTCATTGCCATAAAATCCATGGAGTATTCAATTAGCAGGTGCTGCTAGCTTACATTGGAAAAATTAGGATTTTTAAACTGAATTCTGTTTATTCAATTGATTAGTCTAACGAACAAATTTAGTGAGTAATAATTTGTGCAATATATGCAAGGTAAAATGTTAATAAAAGCACAATTTTGGTAAAGGAAAGCAAGTAACTAATTTGTTGTGGCAAAAATACCTTAATTAGGGTTGAAACACTTGACTTGACTATGCTTACAAAAATGTTATATTCTAATTATAGTCAGGAGTTTGACATTAAGTCAAGTAGGCATTTCCGACCCTATAAATCATATATATTCGTGATCAGCATCAAAAGCCGCATCGATCAAGCTATGTCCGGTTGTCAGATTTATTAACCTAAAAAAAACTAACATGGGAACGGTTTCCGAATTGAAATGAATGCCTTGTTGGCTGAGTTATCTTAAACTACGACTTTTCAGGAAAACTTTATTGATAATTATAGATTTAAAGACCCTAAACTGCACATAATTGATACATTTATGTTCATTGAGATTTTTGATGGCCAAAAAACAAACTCAATATGTTTCTTTAGCTTTCTATGCTATTAAATCTATAACTACATTCACCTAAATCATAATTTATCTTGTCATTTTTGTAGTTTTCTACTACGTTACATGTCCTATTCCGCTCACTTTAAATACATTTTATTTACTCCACACACACTCAAACCCACACCCCCTCCTGTGAGTGTCCTCGTGCCAAGTGCATGCGATTCATTAACTCGTTTTGTCTGCCCGAAAATACCTAGCATAAGAGCTGGGCGCCCTTCAGCACCTGTCGGCAGGTGCCATGGCAAACTGTCAAGTTGCCGGGTCTGATGATGCAGCTGTTAAATCACCTGACAAAGCATAAATGCATCGCAATGACAGAAACCCGACACTCGACTGGCTCTGGATTGTGCTCCCTTTATTTTTTGTTGCATTTTTTGTTTTTCGCACTGCGGGAATGCCATGTTGTTCGGCTGTCAGAGTGGAATCAATTGATGATTCGCTTCGTTAGGCACACTGTCTACCTCCGACTGCGTGGCGTGTCGAAGAGCCATTTGCATTGTGAAGAGCGTAGTGCCCTGGTCGGGGATTGCTTCTACTTCATCGATGGAGGCCATGATGGCGATGGCGATGGTTATGGTGATGGTGATGGTGATGGGGATGATGATGATGATGGTTTGGTAAATGTTGCCGCCACAGGCGCTTCTCACGATTGCCATTTATCAACTTGGCCGGTCGCCGCATAATTGCATCAATGGATACTTGGGCACGTTTTATGCCAAAAAGGAAGAGAGCAACAAAGTGCGCAGCTTTATGCTGATTTTTGCATACATTACGCATACGCAGCGTTGTCGCGGAACCCCAAGAATCCCATTAGTTTTATTACCAGAAGGAGAGCGAACCCTTGTCCTGTTGTGTTTCTTTAGTCACTCTGTGTTGCTTCTGCAACCCACATTTTGTACTTTGAACTTAATTTCACACACAAATAACTTGCAAATTGTTGTAAAGTTGTACGAATTTTCGGTCCCATTCGCTGGCATGCTCTTTTTCGGGCCAACTCAGCCAAGTAGCAAGTTACCAGTTACCAGTTCCCAGTTGCAAGTTGCAAGTTCCACCCACTCAGTCAGTCAGTCAGTTAGCTAGCTACTGAGGCTATTGAACTTTAAATTGATTTTTTCGCTTGTTTGCTAGTTTTGCTCTTCTGCTTTCTCGAGTTGCAACTAACTGGGCGGGGGGAGGGGAGGCGACGGGTGTTGTGTGGGTGTGGTTCTGGGCTTTAGTTTCTCCACCTCCTCTGGCGGTGGTGCTTATCGTTGTTGCAATAAATCGAAATAAGCGACGCCACCTAGAGCTCTGGGGGTGAATGGCATACTTTCTGATGGACGGGCCAAATTAAGCTGGTCTAGTTTCTCATTCAAACTATGGGAAATATATTATTCAAGCTTTCATAACTGTGTCGCCTTCAATATTCGTGCCGGAACAAAATTGATTTTGGTTTTTGTGTACCAGTTCTAGTTGAATGCGGCCTTCGAAATGTAGTAATTGTAAGCTAGGAAATTGCATAGAGCTCGAAAAGTATAATTAAACTGAAAAGACATAACTTTTCAAGTGATTTCTTAACTTTAAGTCCTTTGGCTTAGATTCCAAACAATTCGTTTTATTTAAAACAAACCAAGATCATCTTCTACAATCTCCTTAGAAGCTTTCCTCCCATTTCTAAATTTCATTGCACTTTCCTATGAGACTCTTACAGCTTTTGCTGACTGCAAAACAATATCACAAGTAGATATAATCACATGTCAACAAAATCCTCTTGCAATACCAAATGGAAAATGCGAAACTTCTTATGACATTCGAGTGCAACTTGCTATGCAAATCGAAATGGGACGAGGCACAAACACCGAACGGAGAAGAAGAGTGCAGAGTTGGAGGCGACTGTACCCAAAGTTTTTGGCTTAAAAGAATCAACGCATGTTGACATACCAAGACAACAACAATGATGGCTAACAAGCCACAAGAACAGCAAAGGCAACAGCAAGAGCAACAACACGTCGGGTGTCAAAAAATCAAAAGCATAAAAAGGATTTGGCTGTTGCCAGCCAAGGAGTAGCAGCTATGGCCACGGCTATAGCTCTAGCTATATCTACATCTACATCTAAATATATATATATATGGATATATATATGGATGTGGTCGGAGTTTGAGCTCTGAGCTCGGCGAACTCAGCCAAAAAGTGCCAACTGATGCTATTTTTGTCGAGCGACAGACAGAGAGACGTATACGTGGCGTATACGTAATATGCAGGAGCTGTGCCGAGAAGCATCGCGCGAGTTCGTGGCGAAAAATAAGTCGCAGAAATTTGTAACAAAGTTCGCGTAGTGAGAAAACCTTTTGCTCCCACACACACACACACACATACAAATACATATATAGAAAACTCGCTGGAGATGGAGCTGCAAGGAGGAGGAGAGATGCAAACGCCTGTTGTCTCGTCAGTGTGGCGCCTAAGAGGCTGCCAACAATAATAACAAAACCCACGAAAAGAGAGCATGCTGCATACAGTTGCAGTCGGAGTAAGCCAGTGTGTGTGTGAGTGTCCTGCGAGTGTGTGGGTGTGTGTGTGTGTGCAGGAAGCGCCAGCCAAAGGAAACAGCGCGCAACGATTTTGCAGCAATAAATTGATAGTTTTATGTGGCGCACATAAACAGGAGTAGAGGGACAAGGAGCGCAGGGAGCGAACTACGAAGGAGCTGAAGGGAAATTGTGGGCGGCAGATCCTGGGACATTAAACTTGCCTGCTTACTGGATACGCCCCCGTGCATATATATTTCAGCCGTAAATAGCAAAGGACAATGCATAAAACAAAAGGCTGATCAAATTTATAAATGACAACTACCAAATTTATGGGACTTTCCACGCTGTTCCTTCTTGTGGGCCAAGTCAAGCCTCCTAGCTCCCTGCTCCTGATGAATTCCTTCCTTCCTGACAATTTGTCCTGTTGCAAATTTCACTTTTCGGACCCAAATTATGCCCAGGAAAGCGCCTCTGACACATTTTTCTTTTCACTTTGCTGCTCCAGCTCTCCCTCTCTATCGTTCAGAGCTTCTATGGAGTATATGGTCTATGGGCCTGTCATTGTCCTTCATCAAAAATGAATACACTGTGTTTGTCAAGTTTCAGCAAGGACAACTGGACAGCCAAATTGAGGTAACTCGTCGCCGCTGCTCGTTCCGCTCCTGTCATAATTTGTTCGCCTTTTTCCCTTTTCCTTTGGCCGTAATAAGGTTTTGATTAAATTTGTTCCTCGAATGTATTTGCCAGGCGAAAATCTTCCGCTGTGTCTATTATTTTAGGACTTCTGTGTGTGTCTGTGTGTGTGTGTGTGTGTGTTGTCCTGATGGGTATCGCGTTTCCTTTTGGCTTTAGCCAGGACTCTGGTAGCAGCATCTCGCCTCCATTAATTTAACATATTTTCTTGTCGCTCCAAAAGGCAGCGCT